TTCCGATCCAATCTTTAAACCAATTGGTGGATGAATGCCAGTGAAATCGTTTAACTACACGGCCAAAAATATTTTTGGAGCCCAACAACTTGAGGGTGTAACGTGCGCACGCGCATAATTCCATCACTGTCGCAGGCTCGTAAAACTAAGCTCCGGGGAGCTTCCCTCCGGAGAGGACTACAAAGTATCGGCATCGCGACACGCGGGTTACGACTACCGAAACTCATGTGTGGCTGTATGTGTAATACACGCGTGAAGCAAACTACGGGGGGTGTCGAGGGTAGGTATACTGTCGCGATGGTACGAAACATCCGGTCGCTCGCGCGCCGCTAGAAAATTTACGGCTACTCGGCTACGATTTCTTGAAACGAAGCGTCCCTCGTTAGGGCTTCTCTCCAGTGGTCTAAATTACACTGGCAGTCCTAACGATCTTGTAACGCTCCAACATTATACGACGCGTCCAAGAGACACCCTGGGCCTATGACGCCTATACTCGATAGCTACGGAGGGAGTAAGAAAAAAAGAAAAGTTGAGTGGTAATGGAAATAGAGAAACGGAAGGGGGAACCGGTGTCGTATCCGAGTGCGTTCGCGGATCTTTGGGAAAGGTGACTCCTTACGAATCGTAATTTTTGTCATCTCCCACGCGAGAGGGACTCCTTTTTAACGGCCAATTGCAAGAACAGATGATCATTAGAGGCTGATTTTAAGCTCTGGGTAAACTTGTTTTGTAATCCATCATACGAACGGATACTGCAACTTTGATGATCACCAACAACGTAATATTACAACCTCACAAGAGATATCTGAAATTATAAGTGGCCAATAAAGAAAAAAAAAAATAGTTAACCCCGAGACCCAAGTATTTCGGGTGTGCAAACTCAAAAAACACACCGCACCACGTATGACCGGTAACAGCGAACGGCAAAGACCATAGGTACCATCGACAAAGTCGCTCGTTAGCAGCCAGGTGCGAGTGGACGCAAAATAATAATAACACCCCAGCAGCAACGCTGTTATATACAGGAGTGAAATTACGCGTGTCTCTGGCCATCCCCGATCGAGCAAAACGAGCGCGTCTGCCTCTCTTCCCTGGGGCCGATAAAATTATTCCATCCGGAGTGAGCAAAGTCCCAGTAAACGACCTCGCCTACTGCGGAGCATCAACGCCGAGAGCCGCGACCGACAGCGCAGCAGCGGTAGTTGGAGCGCGAAAAAGAAGCAACGGGAGCGAGAAAGATATGAAGACGAAGATGAAGAGGAAGATAAGGACGGGAGAGGGGGTGGGGGGGGAGGAAAGGGAAGAGCACTTGCCGAAATAAACGGCGTAACTGCCAAGTGGCAACGAGGGGTGTAGCGGGCAAAGAGAGAGAGAGAGAGCCGATAAATAACCTCTAGTTTATTAGCGCGCTATGCGGGACAAGGCGAGGAGCGCGGCCAACGGTCCCCTCCTCCTCCTCTTTCTCTGTGCAATGAAGCTGCTGTGGAGAAAGTGGTTAAATTAGCGGGAATATCAGTACACGCGATCGTCCTGTTGTTCAACACCGGTGATGCACTTTTACGCTTGTCGTGTTGTTTTTTTCCCCACCAAATAGATGTATACATTGTATTTCACTTTTGCAAGCAACAAAACAGTTTTTGACCCCGTATCTTTTCTCCCCCAAAAGAGAGAATGAAAATAACACACCCGAGATTTACGATCTTCAGGTGCGAAGCCGTCCTAATAACTCTTTCGCAGAGGTATGGTATACTTAGTGGTGTTTAGTCGGCACGAGCTTGTTAAATCTTCCATTGTCAAAACACTCGTCTCCCGCGCGAGAGGACGAGCAAGGCAAATCCAAGGGTCGGGCAGGCGTATGTAATTTTCGCCAATTAATTACCCCGACGACGCCGAATTTCCAAGGGAAAAACGATAATTGAAGCTCTCGGCAATCAATCGCCTCGTAGCGCAGCGAGATAACGATCGACACGGCCGATGATCTTCCGAGCCGGTAGAAATCGAAGAGGAGGAAGAAAACGACGGCGGCCGTGTGTACTTTGCTGCGGCAGTTTGTCAAGGGACAGTGGCGTCTTTACGAGGGGCTCTGCCACGGGTAGACATATAATATCGCGCATGCAGATCGCGAGCAGGTTGCCGTGCGATTTTCCAACGACGCGGCCTGCACTAGCGCGTTGTTAACAAGCTCCCGGCTACTCCGGCTCGGTTACACCGTCCTCTCTCCCTCTCTTGTGCTCGAGAGATATATGTGACGGAAAATCGCGGGCAAGAGAGGGGGGAGGTCTCCTGCTTTTTGTACCGTAGCGGAGTCTTCTACTGTTCGCTCCGTCCCGGAGCAGCTGAAATAGATGGGAACTCATGCTGGCCCTTGGATTTCAGGGAATGTTGTATACCCTATACCGCAGACCGACGCGTACACGCGTCTCCCTCCACCCTTTTTGTGACAGTGGGTGTTTGTGTACAAGTAAATTTGCAAGATTATTCATGTGGGATGACGAGATCAGCTCAAAGGACACACGAGAGTGTACCTGCTTGTGTAGCACCTGCAGCACTTTATTTGAGAGATCCATACAGGATTGGAAATTAAAAGCACCTCTACGCGAGGTATGCCTTATACTGCGCGGGAATTCAAGGCACCGTTTGTTGGCAAATGATTTCATTTGTCTCCACACACGATCTGCCTGACCAAGGAGCTTCGGATATCGCCGTGTACATGCTTGCACGCAAGCGCGGTACTGCAATTAGAATAAGCTATTTCTAAGCTGCGTCGACACTTAGCCGAGCACGCGGCTCGCGCCAAAAAGGATTTCATCGCGGAAGAGCCGTTTTGTACGTTGCTGATGCAGAGGAACGAAAACGAGCGGGAGACAGTCTAATTGCATTACGGAAACATGAGCTCCGAGCTCGGATATACCCACCTTTTCTCTCTATACGGTCGCGAGCGATAATTTCAGTAACGCGACTGAAAATTCTTTTTTTTTTTTTTCGTTGTTGGACCTCGATGATTTGGACGAGGGCGAAGCTTCAGTGCGAGGGACAATTGCGTAAAAAAAGAGCCAACGAAGCCCCACGCGGTGCGAGCGTGTAATTTTTGCATTATACTCCCATACCCCGCGGGCAGCGTGTAACAAGCCTGTATACATCATACGTATACGCGACGTTGTACGCGCGTTATGGGGACCGCGAAGCAAAAAAAAAAAAAAAGAAAAAAAATGAAAATAACCCACACACGAGAGAAAAGAGCGCGCACGCGAGCACGTGTATACGTATGTATAATACACGATATATATGCCCCATAAACAAGTCAAAAAAAATATACATGCATATATACGCGCGCGCACAGTTTCGATCGCATCCACGAGATAGAGAGAGAGAGAGAGCCCCTCCTCGCTGCGGGTCGAAAAAGAAAGGACGCGAGAGCGTACACGTCCTACGCGCAAACACGATCTTGGCACGAAGCAACACGATGTTCGGGAGATAGAGGCGACCGCAGGAAAGACGGAACAGGGGGAGTTGCTTATAAGCACGCATATAAGGATGTTGACTCGGGGCCCTCCTTAGAGTTGATTTGTGCTCAATTACCGAGCATCCGCGCTTTTTTGTTTTTGATGTCGGCATTGATTTGAACGTCGGCAGAGGCGAACGTCGTCAGTGGCGTCGCGACGATTTTATTTATACACGCGTGCCGAGCCCCATCCCCCCCAACCCCCACCTCCAGCATCCCGCGTTTTCGCGACACAGCGTCGTTAAGATGCACGACGAGGAGGAGACTTTTTGGGCCGAAAAAGGGTCAAAAGGAAAAGAGAGACGCGGAAGGTTTATCCGGCGATTCATTCAGCGTTTTACTACCCGATGCTACTCTCCGTCCCTGCCTATACGAGGGGGGTAGAAGCTCCTACGTAGCCGAGCACTGATTTACGCGAGGCTCCGGTACCCTCGGCCTCTCTCTGGTATTAATAACACCTAGCCCCGAGCGCTATCTAGCTCACGTAGTCACACATTTTTTATAAAAATCACAATCCACTGCTTTCACGACCAATCAAAATTGGTAGCTCTTGAGCATGGAAAAAAAAAAGTAGAGGGTGTAGACACGAAAAAAAAGGGGGTTGCAGGCAAAAAAGGGAAAAGCAGCTGCAAAGGAAGTTCCTAGAAAGGGAGTAGGCGCAGGTGTTGGGAGAAAACATTTGTCGAGATGACAAAATAGCGCCAAGGCTCCCTTTTGTCCTCGAAAGCGTGGCAGAGACGAGCTCGAAGCAAAGCAATACTATAGGTACAGGCACCCCCACGAAAGGAAGGACACAGTCGCCCCTCGAGAAGGGATTAACCTCGCAAAGACGCTTTCCTCGGTCTCTCAACCCTTGCCCGATCGGGCATGGATTAACAAAGACGGGACTCCGGATTACCGAGTGCTCCGACACGCCAAACGAAAGATAAAACCCACACACCCGAACCTTTTTCTTTTTCATTCGTTACGTAATCGCACACTTTGGAAGAGCGAGTTCATCCACGTCAACGCGCGGGGAAACAGCGAAAATAGCAAACACAACAAAAAAAAAACCATAAATTTATTGGGAGGTGGAGGTGGTGGGGGGATGAGCGCGGATTTACAGCGACGGAGCAGCGATAGGACTTGTTTTTCGGACCGTAAAGTTATCGAGGAGGAAAACTGTAAGTGCGTAATACACCGAGAACAGAGCCCGGCCGTCGACGGCCCAGATACGCGAAAATCGTAAAACCACAAATGTAACGGAGTAGGCGGGGCCGACGATGGGGTGCTCTACTCCCCGCTGAACTTATTAGAGGCGTAAAACGCGATGCTTATACGTTAACGCGTTGTCAGGGAGAGCTCGACACGGTAATGGGTTACCATTGTTGATCACTGGACCTTTATTTTCTGTCCTAGTTGACCTATTTGCGTATTTATAGGTGCATCGTTGTCGCGAAAATAGCCTTTTAGTTTGTCCTCGTTGGAATCATGAGAGCTGAGAGATTCGTGTACTCACCAGTTGTTGACTTGCAGGATCGTCAGCCCCGTGTCCTGTGACAGCTGCTTCTTCTGGTCTTCCGATGGGTACGGATGCTGGAAAAAAGCAGAGGATCCGACAATTAGAGCACAGTCTCGTAAATCTGGGCATTTTTAATTGAAAATAGTAACAAAAAGTCCGTGGACGTTGGAGCTTTTTTTGGAAAATATCGCGCGAGGGCAAGATAAAGGGGGAAAAGCATCGGAGGGAAAAATTCGTTGTGCACACTGTACACATTGTATATTTTGTGCAGAGTGCACGAGAGCGCGCGTATACACGTAGATGGGGCTTGGGACCATAACGCGCAGCCGAAGCGCACCTGCGGAATATTATTTATTGCTGAAAAAGTGAAAAAAAGGGGAAACGAGAGAGGATGAAAAAAAAAAAAAAAAAAAAAAGGAACGGAGCCACGAGAGGAGGAAAAGAAAGAGTATATAGGACGTGCGTTTTATCGGCGTTCACATCGGCGCAGATGTGCTGCTGGTGTTTATCTGCCATGGCCCTCGCAACGCACGATCTACAAGGATTACTTTTGGAATGACGATTTTTATCTGCTGTCTTTTTTATTGTAAATATAATAATAAAACAATGTGACTGTAAAATGAAGGGTAGGAGGGTACTTGTGGGTAGAAAAAAAAAAATTTAAGTAATGCGTACGTATCATCCATTTTCTGGCCTAATGACCCCAAAGATATCAGTTGCTGTGAACTCGAGGGTTAGAGATTGTTCTCGCAACTCATCGAACCGTGCTAACTGGCACATCCACAATAGGGAAAAAATTAACCCATATCATTGGTACGTTAACAAAGTAAAAAAATTTCGTAAACAATGTATCTCGATGAACGTCGTGTTTGAGCCTTTCAGAGCTTGCAAGACCGAGCATTAGCTCTCGAAACTACCAATTTCAAAAGGCTCAGCTCGAAGCGCCGTAAATAACCGGATGAAAAAAAAAGCTCCCCAGTGCGCTTCGTCCCGACAAAGTAATGTCGCGCGCATGCCTTCTGTTTATTATTAAAAAACGTCGGGAGAGGGGGGATGGGGAGGGAAAAAAAGGAGCGCGCAATTTTTTTGTCAAAAAAAAAAAAAAAGCTTTCACAAAAAGAATTTCACGCACAATAACAGCGGCAGCGTCGAGCAGACGGAGAGCTCGAATAAAAAATATAAAAAACGAGCTGCAGTACGGCACAGCCGCAGCGCCGGCGGCAACGGCGACTCTGCTATATGTATACGCCGCGGTACAAACCGGACACGGGGTCCCTGTACGTGATGGCCGAAACATAAAAGCTCCGTATATGGCGCTTGCAGTGCAGAGTATGGGTGCACCTCCGTGGTAGGTATATATATATACAGCATCCGCGTCATATTTTTACGCAATTAGCACGTGGCGAGATCGGGCCCCGTTCGGTATCACGGCCGACTTTTTGCCCGACGACTATGTGCCACTACACGTAATAATAATAATATGTACCCATGTATGCACACTGCGGACGTGCCAGCGGTATACAAAGGGAGGACGCTACGGTGTGCGGTATTTTCGGAAACCGCGCAGGCCGACCGCGACTCGCACCTCTCCCTGCCCACCCCTCGATCGGTATATCATGTTTCTTGGAGGCGAGCCATGAAACCGAGAGGGACACTGGTGGAGTAAAAGAAAAAAAAAAAAAAAAAGAAGCCTTCACCGTACCTACCACCACAATAACCACCAACGCCTCTTTTATGTATCCCTTGCTCGATGTAACAAAAAAAAAAGAAAAGATTTTCTTATCCTAATTAAAGCAAAGACGGCGGGCGCCTATTGTTAACGAGGATAGCACGCCGTGGCGGATATTGTGCACGAGAGGGCTATGGCTTTTCATTGTAAAAGGTTCGCAGTGGCTGCTCGCTGAAACACAATACTACCCCCTTCTCTTTTTTCGGTCGAAAGCACGTTTGACACTGTTTGTTTTTTTTTTTTTTTTTTTTTTACCTCCCGGATAGAATATCAGGGGAAAAACTACGAAAATATACATAGATACGATATCCTTGTCTCGCGATAACGATCCTCTCTGATTTTTCCCGAGTGATTTATAACCCGCGCGCGATAAAATTTTCCCAAGATACCCATTAGGCGTAGCGCAAGAAGAAAAGTTACTGCAAGCAGGTTACACGGCAAGGACCACTGTTGAAACGATCCTCCACGGGGACGGATGGTATACAAGTGTACAGGATGGCCGGCAAGTGTGTGTGTAGCGACGTAAATCAGAAACAGCAGGTGCGCAAAACAGCGCTACGAACACGGACGAATTAGCAAAGATACACCGGCGAACGGGCACAAGGGGCAAAATAGAGAGAGAGAGAGAGAGAGAGAAAGGAAAAGAACACAGGCAGCCGGTATATGTATACAAGTATAGGTACATTGTACAAGGAGCGGTGAATGGCGTGGCGAGCGGAAAGAGAGTATCGTCTATCATTCCCTCCTCCCCGGCCTCTGGCCCGCGAATTTCTCCGGTATATATGCATAAAACAATCAAGATAATTGCCGAAGCTTCGTGGGGACTCTCCGGTGCGCTCGCTATCTCTCTTGTCCCTGGAAAGACACTCGGAAAGCGGGGGGGGGGTATAGGGTAAGGAAAGAAGGTGGGGTCGGAAGGCCAGTGCGAGAAGAGACGAGAGTCGAGAGCACGAGCTATCCAATTACATTGAAAACAATAGTCTTAAGTGCTGCCGGCGGCCCGTTCTGCTCTGCTCTCTCCGCCCCGGCTCGCCCTCCTCCTCCTGCTCTACTATACCTCCGGCTCTCCGTGTTCATATTGTACACCCTTCGAGATGGACTTTCTCGCTGATGGTTTTCGCTAAGCGAGACACGATGTATTTTGCCACGACTTCAACTATATGCAGTCCTTTTTTTTTTTTACCGGTGTCCTCCTCCTTATACATTTACATCGACGTTTTACAAGTCCACAAGTAGGGAGATAACAACTAATAGAGTCAAGTTGAGGGCGTATGATTAGCGCCACGGGCAAGGGAAATTGATTCGTTTTCGCATTTATACACAGCAGCAGCAAAGTCTTCCACTTCTCCCGGTATACCTACTCGGAAAGCGCCGGGGAAAAGTAAGATTCAATTTCGACCAAACTTTATTCCTTCTTTATGGATCGACGTCGTTCCCGCCAGACGTCTCCGTAGGAGAGAAAAGGAGCAAAGGAAGAGGTGGAGAGGGGCAGGAGGGAGCAAACGTACCTCTATACCCACGGGGTAGCTCGAGGGGGTGGGCCTTCCCGTTCCTGTGTAACTGAATTAACCCATTCGGGAGGGTGGGCCTCGCCTAAACAAGCGATAAAATGAGAATGAGCACTAAAAAGACAATATGAAAACCATTCGAGAGAGACTTTCTCGGCCCTTCCTCGAGAGAGGGGGCAGAAAATGACTATGTGGAACCTAAGGAGGAGAAGGCGCAAAATGAGGCCTATTGCTTTCCGACGATTTCATCACGACCAGCTGGGAACAGCTGCATGTGAGCCATTATTGCGTGAGTCCTCCTTGGCTTGTTTGCTCACGTGACGGCGACTATTATTTTTCAAATTCAATAGTCATGGCTTTTGACGAAGGAAACACGATGATTGCACTGCTGTAGGGATGAATCGGATGATTGTAGACGTTAAAATATGGTATTGAAAAAAAGAGCCAGTATTGTTTCTGTATAGGTAAAAGAGTAGATGTAGTGTTCCGATTTGAGGTATCCTTGGGTGAAAAACACAGTGAATCTCGGCTGATTCCAATGGGAAATCGACGAGTCCACCGAAGCAGGTCTGCAAAGACAGCAACTGTGGGGCGTCATGACTCGAACCTCGGGCGACAATTTGCGCCCGTCGCGTGCGCCGCGTCAGAACGACGAGCCTCCGGGACCGCCTCCTCCGGACAACGTCGTCTCCCTAGACGCGATCCAGCCATTTTCGAGGCGAGAGAGCCACGTACGCGAGAGAAGAGCCGCCCGAATGACACGCCGATGACGAGCCGACCTGCTGACTCGGGCTAACGAGCGAGGCGTGGGACACACACTCGTGTATACATATATATCTATACGCAACCAAGAGAGAAAAGAGAGAGCGCCTCGTCATCGTGTTCTCGCTCGTTTGCTCTTTCTCAACTGTCGCCGCTGCTGCACACCTAGGCGTGGTGCCGATACGCCGCGTGACGCTTTGGCGTTGACGCGGACAGTTTCGCCGGGGAGAGAGGACGAGCTCTACGTGCCTCGTTCGATTTAGCTACCGTGGACCATGTACCACGGGGAGCGAGGCTCTTTTATCCGCTTGGCGCTCGGTGTCGCGTTAACGATAGGGCTTGTTTGCCAGGAGAGTTTTAAGGGCCGAGATGTTACGTTACACGCGAAACGTCGAGAGGTGTGGAAACTGTGATTTTTAACAATTTTTTGGCGGGGGAGTTGAAATTTTTTTTTTTTTTTTTATAGCCTCGAGACCACAAAAAAAAAGAAATGAAACACAGAGGGTGGCAAGCGCGTCACTCGATTTCGTCCGCCCTTCACCTCCAGCATCGACTGCTGGGGATATTAGGTGCAGGTATATTTTCACGATAAGGGGGTGGCATAAACTCGTTACCCCGAGGGGTGGTTATTCAATTTCGGCGTTAAAATCCTCTAATGTGCCGTTATTGCCAGACGCCGGTGGAACGGTAATGGCCACGTCGCCGAGTTGAAAACTCCTCGCCACCACCACCACTCGGGGTCTCGATCTCCAAAGAAAGGAGCCGCTCCTTGGCATATTAACGGCACCACTACCCTCCTTATTTTCCTCCCTGCTCGGGAGTATATATACACATATTTACACTCGGAAAATTTTTCTACGTCTCAACAACCGATTGATGCCGATTTTTTTTTTTTACTGCGCGTCGAAGAAAGCGACGAATCAATCGCGCCGTGCGAGTTCCCACGCTCGTCGACGAAAAAGTCCGCGAGCCGATGTAAGCGTCGTGTAATTGCGCGACAGGGTACAATGGAATTCAAGATGGGACGTCGCGGATATGTTGAAACTTGGATGGGCATCGATAGATAGCCCAGATA